CCCTGCAGCCCAGATCCATGGCTGGGCAGCCAGGGATCAGTGCCAGAGCCACGTTTTGTGGGCAGGAGGATGCAGCATGGCCAGGATGTGCCACAGGTGTCTGGCAGAACAGAGCAGACACAGCACTGTCACCCCACAGGACAGAAAAGCCTGGGGGCAAGCATGAGATGTCACATCTGTAGTTATCAGGAATAAAATATTCCAACAATACCTCAAGCAAAAAGCCAGAAAAGCTGAGTCCTCATACAGTGACTCAAGAGGAAACTCTTAGGTCAGCAGCAGGGCTGCTGTGAGCCGTGGGCTGTGAGACACACAGAACATGGATAACACCCACATCCTCCCAGGGAAGGAGCCAGAAAAGCCAGTAGAAGATGGATGGAGCAGAAAAGCTCCCTGCATGCTCATGTGCAGCACAAGAAAAAAATATCCTTAAACACATGAAAACGATTTTGCCTCTTGTCCTGGCCCCTTGTGCTGCTGTAGGCAGGCGAGTCCTTGGGAAGCATATCTGGGCTGGAAAAAGCCATCACAAAATATTGCACATTGGTTGGTTTAAGCTGGGCCAAGGCTGGTCCAGAGCCCTCACATCAGCCCCTGAGCTGGCAGGGACAGGGCTGCCTTGGTGCTGCTGCCAGCCACCCCTGTCCTGGGCTTCCTGAAACAAACCAAGCCCTGGGTACATTTGGGCATGGATGGAGCAGCTGGAACCAGCAGGAGCCAGGGGGGAGGCTCAGGAGCTCAGGACTGCAGCAGGGAGGGGAGGGAGCAAGGGACAAGGAGCCAGGCCTGGGAACATCATGGCACAGCCAGGGGCAAAGCAAACCCAGCCTGCCCAGCCAGAGCTGCTCCAGGGCGAGCAAACCCCAGCAAACACCTCCTGAGCCCCAGAACACGGGCTGGGATCTGCCTCACAGCTGGGTCTGGTAGAGCCTGTGCTGGCCCCTCATTGCTCCTGCCTGCACTGAGGATCAGCTCTGGCGCTGGGGGTGAGTTGGCTTTTGGGAGGGTTTTTGTTCTTTTGCTGCTATTGTGTTTTAGTGTCTGGTTAAAGCCTGTCTGGTTTAGATTTGCACCAAGTGGGGCCCTGGTCCTGTGCTCAGAGCTGGGAGCTCAGGAGCAGGAGCTGCTCCATCAGCAGCTGTTGGCTGCAGAGGTGCCCTGTGCCCAGCTGAGCTGAGGGTGCCTGCAGGGTGCAGAGGCTCCCAGGGACAGCTGGGCTCTGGCTATGGGTGTGATTTAAAACAGAGCTGGGAAGTCAGGAGACAATTTTACAATTTACCAGCAAGTTACTGGTGCCCTTACTGACTGAAATCCCCAGTGGGGATGGGGAAGACCAGCAAGGAGCCAAGAGGAGAGCACATTATTGCTGGAGGAGAGTGATGTGTTTTCCAGCAGGTCATTTTCCCCCTGCTCCTCACTGCCTCATGGCTGAGCTGTCTTTGTGGGACAGGACACTGTCACTGCAGCTGTGCCTCCCAGCAAAGCTGATGCTTGCCTGGAGAGCTGCAGCCTCTCCTGGTGTGGGACAAACTCCTTCCTCTTCCCCATTTGCTAGTGGAGCTTTAGGGTTGTTTGGACACAGTTCCCAGGATCTGGCTGTGCCATGCTGCAGGAACAGATTCCACTGCCCCACAGCCTTCCCATGAACCAGGACATGGGGCTCTGGGGAACTGGGCAGACAGGCCACTCTGGGTGGCTTCAACCCCATTAAAATAACCTGTTCCAATGCTTCAACCCCATTAAAATAACCTGTTCCAATGCCACGCTGCTTCCCACACACCACAGCATCAAACCCCCAGGCACCACATCCAACAAGAGCACAGAAACCTGTCCAGAACAGGTCTGCCATGCTGGGGGACACCAGAGCTCCCTGAGGGGACATGCCAGTTCCCACACACAGCACAGCAGCACCTGCAGGGGTGATGGTGATGATGATGATGATGATGATGATGATGATGATGGAGGGACCTTTCCTGGGTGTCCAAGGAACCCCATTCAAGGGGAAAAGCTCACACAGTCCCTACACATTCCTTTGTCACTTTATCCTTCAGGATGAAGTGCTCACAGTACCTGGGGAGGCTGGGAAGTGCCAGCACAGTCCCAGGCACTCTGCAGAGCTCCAGGCTGGACAGAAATCAAGTGCAAAACCACATACACAACATTTGCATGAGAGCTCACAGCTCTTCAAGCTTCAAAGGACAATTTTCACCATCACAGCACTCACAGGTACTAATGAGAAAAGTCTCCATCTGACATTTCTCCAACTCCATTTGATATTTAATTGGGAGAGAAGATCAAAGACCAGGGGAAATAGGTGGTTTTGCATTATCATACACACAGCTGAGCACAGCGAGCAGGAGAGATTAAAGAAACCCACACTGAAGCATAGAAATAAATGCTGTAAAGCAGCCATTCTTACAGCCACAGTGATGCCATAGAGCCACAACTTCTGACACCCTAGAGCCCTGAGCAAGGCTCCTCTGTCCCACCAGTGCTGGCCATGGACAAGAGCTGAATCCCCAGTGCCCACAGCAGGTCCTGATCCTGGCCAGCCCAAGGGGATGGGACAGACACCTCCCAGAACCTCTCCCTGCCAGACCAGGGACAGGCCATGGTGTCTCAGCACTGCCAGGACAACGTGTGGGACCAGCACTTGGCACTGCCAGTGACTCTCCATAGTGCTGGCACAGAAAACAAGGGATGCAGCCAACTTTACACCAAAATAATTTCCATTTCTGACTTAAAGCATTATTTTCTATCATTGGATTTCACACCCAAGAATGTTACAAATGAACAACATTATTCTCTGCTTTAGTCAGTTCAATTCCCCACTTGGCAATACTGAATACTTTGTCCCCTTGTGGTGTCCTGTGTATTTGTGACTACTCAGCTGCTGGGGGGGTGTCAATACCACACTCAAAGGCAGCACTGGTGGGGCTGTGGCTGCAGGATGACCCTCCCCAGGACATGGTGGGCTGCAGGCCCCTGTTGGAGCTCCACCCCTGGAATTTTATTTGCTCCAGCTGGTGACACATCAGTTGGATGGAGGGAATGGAACCAGTTTCCCTTAATCCATGGAAGGCCAAATGAATTTAAAGCCCCCTAAAGAGCCCCCCTCATTCAGGTAACCTGGCCTTGGACACTTCCAGGGATGGGACAGCTACAGCTTCTGTAGGTAACCTCTGCCAGGGCCTCTCCACCCTCACAGGGAAGAATTTCTCCCCATTATCCCATCTAACTCTGCTCTCTGTCAGTGTGAAGCCATTCCCCATTGTCCTGTCACTCCATCCCTTGTCCAGAGCCCCTCCCCACCTTTCTTGCAGGCCCCTTCAGGTACTTCACCCTCTCTCCTCATTGGATCTCACTCTCCTGATGGCACCACCACCACTTTAGCATCCCAGCAGCTGAGGGCACCTCCTCCCCACCCTGTCAGGGGGCACAGAGGGGCTGTCAGCCGTGGCTGTCCCACTGGACATTGGGATCTGCCAGCTGGCCCTGGTGAGGCCATGCCCAGTGAGTACCCCAAGTTCCCACCCACAGCTCCACATGGGTAAGATTCAGAGATATATCTATTTTTTTAAGTTATTTGTTAACAAAACACAGGGAGCTGATGGAAGCCCAGGCAGGATTGGCCCCAGCACCTCCCTGGCAGCTTGCTGGATCAGCTACAAAAACACCCCACAGCATTTCAGGCAAGAAATGCTCATCCCTGGGGGTTCTCAGCGCTGTCTGGGTGTGCTCTGCTTTCTTCTGCTTCTGCCCTTCCTCCCTGGCCAGTCTCCCTGGGCCGGGCCTGCTGACCCAGCGAAATCCCTCACATCCCTGTGCACTACAAACACTGAAAAGGGAAATGGTTTTGAACAAAGTGATGAAGAAAAGCATTTCCATTAGCAAGCGGGTTTGTTTTAATCCCTCTGATTTCCATTTTGTTGGGGGTTTTTCTTTGCCCTGGACTGTGGAGAGATTTGAGTTTTTGTACTCACGTTAGGTCTCACAGCCCTGTGACGTCGGCAGTTTCAGTCACACCAGCTTTTGTTTCTGCTGCTTCCAGATGGGCAAACACGGGCTATTCCAGCCACAGCCTCGATAACAAGGAAGCTCTGAATTATTCTGAACAAAAGGGCAGCAGCTAAACCTATTAATACCAACTGAAACCAACCAGCTGGCAGGAAAACCGTGTGTGACCAGCGTGGATTGTCTGTGTCCCTGCACTGCCCCCATGGATGGATGCTCTGCTGGCCTGGATTCTACTGCATGGATAACAGCAGAGAACCATGGAATCATCTGGATTGGAAAATTTAAGATCATGGAGTCCAGGGAGACGACACAGGGACGGTGTGTATGAAGGTGGATCCACAGCTGTGGGGAGGGAAAACAAATCCAAGCAGCCAGAAGGACAGTGTCAAACACGTGGGACTCGGCGGTTTCAGGTGACACAACCTGGCCCAGGTGCTCTGCTGATCTGTCAGCACTTCTGAACAGGCGACTCCCGCAAAGTCAACACTGAGATCGACATTTCATTAGGAAAAACGCTCACCGCGATTTGAAGGATGACAGAACGCCGACAACAATGGGAGGATTTCCAGCAGGGCCCCTCTCCCTCTCACGGGGGTCCCGCAGGGTGTCGGGATGGCCGGGGACGGACGCGCCCCGTTCCCCCCGCGCCCGGGAGATGCGGAATAACGGAGCAGCTTCCCCGAGCGGGGATCACCGGCCCCAAACCCGCACATCCATGCTGCCAAGGCTCGGCCGGTGTCAGCCCAGCGGCACGGGGGATCCGGCCCGGCCCGGCCCTGCCTGGGGACAGCAGCGGTGGCCCCGGCGGTGGCACTGCGGGGACAGGGACACGCCGGGGGTGGCGGCTGCCACCCGGAGAAGGGCAGCCCTGCCCGGAGCAATGCAGGGCACGGCCCCAAAGCGGCTCCAGCCGGGACACACCGAGCCCTGCCCAGGGAACGGACACCCCGAGCCCTGCCCCGACCCCCGCCCCTCCCGCTCACCGCGGATGGCGGCGATGAGCGCGTTGCCGTCCTTGATCACCTCCTTGATGAACTTGTTGGTCCGCTCCAGCTCCTGCTCGTAGCACTTGAGGCGCTCTCGGAAGTCGGGGCTGTCCAGGTAGCAGTCGCTGAACTCCAGCGGCGGGTGCCCCATGGCCGCGGCTCGGCCCGGCTCCGCCGCGCTGCGCCTACCGAGCGCTGCCGCTGCCGCCGCCCCGGGCGCCCCGCGCCGCCGGCATCCCGCGGGCCCGCCCCGCCCGCCGGCCCCGCCCGCCGCTCCCCGCCCGCTCCCGCTGCCGCGCCTCGCCCGAGCGACCCCCGCCCGCCCGCCCGCCCGCTGAGCTTCCGGCCGCGCCGCTGCCGCCGGGAGGTGTAGTCCGGGATGAGCCGCCCAGGGCCGCCGCCCGCCCGCCGGCCCGGCCCGGTTCGGTTCGGTTCGGTTCGGCGGCTCCGCTCTGCTCCGCGGGGCCCGATCCGGGCCGGGCGCTGCCGCCGCCCCCCGGCCGCTCCCAGCGCGCCCCCTGCCGGCGGGGCGCGGGCGGTGCCGCCCGCACGCGTTGCCATGGACGCCCCGGCGGCGGCGCGTGACGCGGCGGCGTGGGGTGATGACGTCGAAGTAGCCTCCACGTCGCCCAGGCGGCCAAGATGGCGGCCGCGGAGGGGAGCGGGGCCGGGGAGACCCTGGTGAGGGCGGCCGGGGGGAGCCGGGGGGAGTCGGGGAGAACCGGGGCCTCGGGAGGGGAACCGGAGAGGCAGGACTGCGGGCGAGCCGGGGACGTTCGGGCCTCCCTCTGTGCGTGAGCAGGGCCGGGCAGCCGGTCAGGTGCCGGGCAAAGGCGCAGCGGGGTCTGGAGGCCCGGGCGGGCGGCGGCTCATCCGAAGGGCGGGGACGGGGGCGAGGAAGGCGACAGGGAAAGAAGATAGGAAGGGGGACAGGGTGGGCGCAGGGCCGGGGACTGCTGGTCTCCTCCGGGGTGCCCTCCGGGGTGCCCTCCGTGCTCCGCCTGCCCAGCGCCTCCCGCAGAACCGGTCGGGCCGTGCCCTGTTTGCCTTCGCCTCCGGGCACCCCGGAGCTTTGCTCGCCCGCAGGCAGGGAGGGCTTCAACCCCGTTAAACTGGTCCCTGAGCAGCCTCGGTGTGTGCCCGGGCCGGGGGTGTCCGTGTTAATGTTAAATGTTAATGTTAATCTTAAATGCGGGTACTCGGGGGTGGTGCGGCTGTGCAGCCCTCAGGCATCACCTCCCTTAAAACACGGCTTTTTACTTATTTCAGTTACTGCCGGAACAGAGCACAGAGGGTGGGCTCTGGGAGTGGCAGGGGACAGGCTCACACACACCTGCTCAGCTCTTCTGTCACTGCTCACATCAGGCAGCAACAGCCTGGCCCTGCTGCAGAACCTTTTCTTTGTTGTATCCCTGAATTCTGAGCAGCTCTGTCCATCCCGAACCCATCTGAAGTGCGCACGAGCATGTTTGTGTTTGTTCCTAAAGGTTTGTGCCCATTCAGTTCCCAGGTCTGGCAGATGTGTCCATATCCCAGGACATTCCAGTGGAAGGGGAGATCACTGTCCCTGTGGGATCTCACTCTCCTGATGAGGATTTCTCCACGCTGGATGAGCCAGTCAAGGACACAATTGTGAGTCTGAGCCCGTGGCTGGGGTCAAACTCAGGTTTTCTGGTGGTATTGGCAGCTGTTTGGCAGCTGAACTCAAAACATAAAACAAATTCCTGTGGGTCAAAAAGTGTCTGAATTGTGGTCCAAAGTTTCTCTGTGATCCTGAAATCAATGTGAGGGCAGAGACCTCAGTGGGAGCTTGTGAGAAACTCTACTGACTGAAAGTGTTTTTCATTTATTCTCTTTTCCTAGAGGAGCAAGCAAATTGTTGATTATATTCTGGTGTTATTAAAAAGTACAATATTGTGGTTGTTGAAGAAAAGGATGTGATGCTGTGGTTGTTAAGGAGTGCAGGAAAAGCAGTCATTGTTTGCTGCAGAGGGTGCTACAGAACTTGTTGGGTCGGATCCTTTCCTGATTTGAACATGAACATTCATGTTCCTTTACTTGTGTCTCTTTGCTTTAGCTGGAAGCTGTAATTTTTGTGAGGGGATAAATGAAAGTGTTTTTGTGTTTGTTTCAGATGAGGGACCTGAAGGCCGTTGGGAAGAAGTTTGTCCATGTCATGTATCCCAGGAAGAGCAGTGCCCTCCTCAGGGACTGTACGTGCTGGGGCCCTTCCAGCCTGCAGGGGATGGGGATTCAGGGGGGCTGAACACCCTGAGCAGCAGAGCTGGCAGCTGGGGTATCACCAGGGCTCTGGGGCAGGGTGGCCTGGGCCACGATGGGTGCAACTGGGAGCTGCAGCAGCTGCTGGGTCTAGAGTGGATTTTATTATAGATCATGGGGTAAGATGCTGAATAAGAGAATTGTAAAGCAGTGAGATGTGGCAAATGGCACCTTGGGAGTTGGGCAAGGGGCTCTGCCACTCCCAGGAGAGTGTAACTGAGATGGTTCTGTGTCTTTTGTGATGTGTTTTCCCTCTCCCTGCAGGGGATCTGTGGGGCCCATTGGTGCTGTGTGTCTCCCTGGCTCTGTGAGTATTCTGGGGGAAATTTGGGGTTTTGTAGCCCGGTGCATGAGGGAAATGAGATGTTAAAAATTACTAATTAATGTGTTAAGATCAATTTCATCTGATCCCTCTCTGTCTTGTGCAAGCACTGCTTGGTTGGGTTCTCTGATAAAATGTGTTTGTGACACTTCAAGCCCATTAGCACCTCCTGTCCCTAAATTTAGGATTTAGGGATGAACTCTTCCTGGTCGCCTGGCCTAGGAATGGTTTTACTGAAGGTCTCTCAAGTTGTCCTGATTCAGCTGTATGCCTGCATCTTGTAGTTATTCCAGGGTTTCTCTGAGGCTGGCTTGTTCAATCACACACTACTCTGCTGCCTTGAGAGGTACCAAAACTTTGGTACTTTAATTTCCATCTCAGAAGGCAATCAAGCCTGTTGTCCATGGCTTGATTCCCTTCCGAATGCTTTCACAGCCCTAAAACAGGGAAACAAATGGACTGAAATCACTTCAGTTGAGCCACAACCATTTTCCTTTCCTGTGCAAAACTGAGGATATGATGAAAATATAAAATGGATGACAAACTATGGGCCTGCAGCATAACTGGGATCAGTGCTGGGGCTCCTGCTCTGGCACCTGCTCCAGTCTGGGAAAACTCATCTGTCTGTTCCCCAGTGCAGCTGTTTCTCCCTGTTCCCCACTCCAGGATGCTGCAGGGTGGCTCTGCAGACAGCAAGGATGACGGGGGGCCTCAGTTTGCCGAGGTCTTTGTCATCATCTGGTTCGGGGCCGTTGTCATCACGCTCAACTCGAAGCTCCTGGGAGGCACCATGTGAGTGTGGATTTGTTCTGTAGAGCTTCACTCACTCCAGTGCACGGAGCTCTGCCCTGCCTGGCCTCACTGCTGTTTTCCTAATGCTGTCTCCCTGTGCAGCTCCTTCTTCCAGAGCCTGTGTGTGCTGGGTTACTGCGTGATGCCGCTGACCGTGGCCATGCTGGTGTGCAGGCTGGTGCTGCTGGCGGGCGCGGGCACCGTCAGCTTCATCATCCGCCTCATCGTGGTGGGGGCCATGTTCGCCTGGTCCACCCTGGGTGAGTCCTCCCTGGGCCTGGGCAGCTTGATCCCTGTGCATTCCCTTGGGCAGAACCAAGGGTGCTCTAGTCTGAGGTGGCCCTGGACTGATGAAGGCCTGTAGAAATAGTTATTTTAATCTGAAGCTGGAGGGCTGTAGAAATAGTTCTTCCAATCCTTAAGCTGGCAGAGGTTCAGCCTCTGTCTCTGCTCCTGGTGATTTCCATGGTCATATGCAAATTGCCTTGGGCGGCACGATGATGATTTAGTATTAAATTCTGTGAGACTGTTTGGTGGTTTATTCTATGATTAAGTTAGAAATACTATTAGAAAATGCTGATTTTATAGAGATGCATTTGTGCGATTTCTCCTGTTCTTTATCTGTAAGTCTGGCTCTCATTGTACAGTGTTAATCAGCATTTATGGCCAGGCTGGTTGGGGCTTGGAGCAGCCTGGGCTGGTGGAAGGTGTCCCTGCCTGTGGCAGGAGGTGGAACTGGATATCCCTTCCAAGCCAAACCGTGCTGTGATTCCATAATTCTATGACCTCTCATTCTGTACAACAGAGGAAGTTGCACTTGGTGATTACAGCCCGTTGCTTTGAGCAGTGGTTTTATTTTCAGCACAAGTGCAGTGCAGATCCTGGCTGTGAGGGGGCTGTGACGCTTGTGCTGCTCGTGCTTCACAGGTTTTGTGTCTCTGCAGCATCCACGGCGTTCCTGGCAGACAGCCAGCCCCCCAACCGCAAGGCCCTGGTCGTGTACCCCATCTTCCTCTTCTACTTCGTCATCAGCTGGATGATCCTGACCTTCACCCCGCAGTGAGCACCATCCCAAGGGACTGCTACACTGACTGGACTTTCTCATGGACGCTGCAGTGAATCCTTGGCTTTATCTCTTTCTAATTTATATATAGGGATACTGTAAAAAGGCAGGTTGTGGGATAAAGCCAGAGGGCTGCAAAAAGTGCTCATTTGTGTGTCACTCTTTGTGAAAGATGCTGAGGTCCAGCTGCTGAGGGGTTTATTTAGCCGTGTTCTGTACTGGTGTTAAATAAACAATGCCCACTGGGACAGGAATTGTTCCATCTGAGGAGAGAGTGGGAAATCCTGGATTTTCAAGCTCTGGGAGATGAAGTTTTTGCACAACTTGGCAGATTTCCTGCCCGTGCTTGGATTCTCACTGAAGATAAAAATGCCTTATCAAACCATAGAACTTCACTGCAATGATATGTGGAGAGGAAAGAGATGTGTCTGACTCCTCTTCATTCCCTTCTAGAGTGGTGGGATGTGCACCCAGGCATTGTGGGACTGGGGCTTTCCCTGGAAAGGAGAGTTCAGTCAAAACTCAGTTTTGCAGGGAATTGGAGCTGGTGGCAGGGAGTTGCTTTTGCCCATATCCAGATGTTGTGTGTGTCCATCCTTTCATGTGGCAGGAAAGAAGGTTCCAGCTTGGTGCCTTCAGCACTGCCTCTGTGAGGGGACTGTGGGCTCACTGCAAGCTGCAGACCTGTGACCAGAGGGAACAAAGCTCAGAGTCCTGCAGAAATGCTGAGACTGCTTTGTAGCAAAGTCTGGGCTCTGACCCTGCATTTGGGAAGTGAAAATTCCTTGGGAAGTACCATAAATGTGTATCTATGATAAAAACAAGGGGTTCTGTGCAGAAAGTTGAAGTTTTGCTGCACAGGCTGTTTGGGTCATAAAAACCATACCAGGGCTTGGGCCCCAAAGTGTTAAAACAGCTTGAAGGAAGGAAAGTAAATGGTACTAGAGGTGTTGGTTGCTCTGAAGCAGGATGTGAATTCTGCTCTCACCTGCCTCTGTGGGACTGCTCCTTTGGTTGTTCATGGGGACAGCAAAGAAATATGTGCAAATGTGCATTTTGTTCCCTTGTACTTCCCAGGAGATATCAGACACTGTTCTGTGGGTTGTTTTGTGGGGTTTTAATTTTGCTTAATACTTTAATAAAAGGGAGGGGGCTCCACCAGTCACTGCAGGTTCATCGTGTACCTCTCCTGGGTACAGTGTGCAAGAGTCAGGTGCATTTTGGCACAGACATTAGGAGCTGGGACTTACTTTGGAAACTACAGAAATGATTCCTGTTGTCTGTTCTCAATCAGCAATCCATGAAATATCTGGGGTGAAAAAGCTGCTGTAAAATGTCCTTTTCCTTACATTTGTGCAGACAGACTGAAACTGAGGTCTGTGGGTTCTGCTGAGGTGTGAATGTGCCTAATTTCTACTTCTATGTGCAAGAGCAGTCTGTGCTGTAAACACTGGCAGTGGGTGGGAGTTGGGATGGAAATTGCTGAATTTCAGATTAAAAGTGCATTTTTGCATTAGTGGATAATGAGCTGCTGTGTGTGGCAGGGCCTGGCTGTGGCACCAAGGGGCTGGAGGGGAGCTGTTGTGGTTGGCAGACATGGGAACCATGGAAAGGGGAATTTTTAAGCTTCCATTAAATTATTGCTGGTATGGAATGTGGTTTTTCTTTTAAGTGTGCAGTTTTTTGTTCAATTAAATGTGAGTTCAGCTTTTTGAAGCTGAAAAGAAATATTCAAGGGAAATGGATGGTAAAGCTGTTGATGGCTATGGTGGGATTCCTTGAGCCAAATCTTTCTGTCGTACAAGAATTTAACCACACTTTCAAAGAAATCCTTGGATTCTCTCTGGGTCTTGTGACTTGAGCTGCTGTTCTTTCTCAAGGATAATTTGAGTAGCATTTAATTGATCCAGTAATATTTTGAAATTTTTTACATTTCTTCAGAAAGTCAAAAAGCCCAAACTGGGGTTTGTTCCTCAGCCACCCTGGAGGTCCTGCAGAGCCCCTGCTGTGACAGAACCACATGGGCACTTTAAACACAACCAAACCATTTTGGTTCAGGGAAGCAAAATGCCTTGAGCTTGTTTGATATTTGCAGATGCTGGAATTAATGCAGCTGGTTGATTAATGCAGCACTTGAAAGTGCTGGTGTCATCTGTGAGTGCTCCCTGAATGTCCCTCATCCTGTCCAGCACATCCCTCCCAAGAGCCCTGCAGGGGACTGATCCCTGTCACAACAGAGGTTTCATTTGTGCTGGAAATGTCTGTGGTAAGAACTGTTGTGCTTTCCAAGGGGAAAGGCTTTTCCTTCTTGTTTAAAGCTGCTGGGGATGGGTGACAAGGAGCAGCAGCTGTGTTGCCTATAATGGGGTGTTTGAACTGCTCTGCACAGAAATGGCTGATTTCCAATGCACAAACCAGGCTTTCTTTCCTACTAGGATTTTTTAAATACTGTTTATCAGCAGAAGTTGTTATATATGTTTAATTTTGATCTATTTAATACCAATAAAAAGGAAAATAATTTTTTTTGTTTTAACTTGAAAAATTCAAACAGGGTGAAAGTCACATGGCCACTGTGAGTTGTGGATGGATGGAAGCTCTGTGCTCTCTGTACCTGTGGCACCTTGCCTGACTGGGGCAGGAGGGGGAAGCTCCCCAGTCCCTACCCTGGTGTCCCCTGTCCCCACAGAGAGCAGGACACGTGTGCCACTCGTGCCAGAGCCCCTGAGGCTGAGCCAGGACATGGCCCTGGCCAGGCTGGGATCCTGCTGGTGCTCACACCCTGCTCAGGGAAGGAGCAGTGGTGCTGCTGTACCCCAAAATCGGGGTTCCAGGGGCTTCAGGGCTGGGAGGTCTCAGGAGCCCCCCAGGGGACCTGCGTGTGCCTCAGTGGTGCTGGCCAGGGACCACTGGGGACAGTTGGTAGGAGGGGACCTGATGGGTCAGTGGATATTAAGGCCCATCCCTGACTGGCTAATGAACCAATGGCAATTAAACCCATCCCTGAGCCACAGCAAGGTTTGAGGCAGTGGCCAGGGTTTGTCCACGCTCTTGCTGACAATGAGGACATCCATGACACCATCCTGGCCAGGAAGCCACACTCCGAGCTGGTGGCAGCAGGGACACCTTGTGCGGAGCGCGGGCTGCGGGGCTGGGGACAGGCACCGTGGGCCAGCGGTCACCAGAGGGCGGCAGGACCGCGCTGTCCCTGGCAGCTTTCTGCGGCTTGCTTGTCACCTCCAAGGGACAACCGTGGCTCCCGGGAGCTCCGGGGAGCGCAGCCCGGTACTCGGGGCCGCAGCCAGGACCGGGCTGGCAGGCAGCCCCGGCAGGTGAGCACCAGCCACCAGCTCGGTGGTGCCTCACCTGGCCCCGCTGCAGGGTTTCTGCCGCTCAGTGATGGGCAATAAAACACTTTAATTCAATAAGCAGTGGTTTTTTGTGTGTGTGTGTTTGGTTTTTTTTTTAAGACAATTTACCAGTCCTGGAAATGTCCCTGTTCCACTGAAAAGAGGTGTTCCCAAGTGCAGCTCTGGGCTTTGTAGTTACACTTTGTCTAGATAAAGCTCAAATTTAGCATCTTTCTCCCCCAAGTGAATCTTTTAAGGCAAATATTCTGCATGCTGAATTGTACCCTAGAGCAAACAAATGGGGCAGGTGACAGTGGAAGGACGGATTTTCACAGTAAAATCAGTAAAATCAGGAAGTATTACCCACTGAGTGCTGCTGTTGACAGCTGGGACTGTGACCTGATTCCCGACCTTTGTCTTTGTTGGCAGGGCAAGCAGGTGACATGGCTGCACGAGCTGGAAGGCAGGCTGGAGGCTGCTGAATCTCCACACTGCAGGTACTGAATGCAAGGGCAGTGCCAGGGGGATGGGACAGGCTGTGTCCAGCACGGGGGGTTCCTCAGTGGAGATGTCAGGGGAGCGTCACCGAGGGCAGATGTGACAGCCCAGCATGGGGGCAGCTGCTGGGACAGACACAAGGGTCACTGCATTGCTCTGCTGTCACCTCTGCTGTCTAGGGCAATGCCTGTGCTGGGGGGCTCAGGGTCTCTGGGAGACAAGAGTGAAGGTTTGCTCTATTTATTCTGAGTCCTAGTTGGAGTAAACACCAATAATAAGTACACTTCCTGATGCAGGAAGGACAGGTTTGGTGTTTCTGCCCCAGTTACTCTCTCTGAACCTTGTCCCCTCTGCCCACGTTTCAGGGAGGGGAAGAGGGCAAGTCTTCTTGAGTGCCACAGCTTTCCTCATGCCTGGTGCCTTGTCACATCTGTGCTCTGAGCCCTCTGTGTGGGAGCAGCTGCTGCTCATGCTGATGGTGGAAGCAAGGGAGCATTGTCAGAGCCTTGGGGACAGTGGGCACGTGGGCAGGCAGGGTCCTCCCACCTGGAACTCTGTTCTTCCCAGCTATGCCCAGGTGGGAGGAGATGGAGTGATTCTCCGCCTCAGCCAAACTTCCCCAGCCTGTGCAGCTCCTCCCAGGAGCCTGACACACACCTCAGCCTGAAATCCATCCCAACGAGCCCCCTCCAAACCCCCTCTCTTTCCCCAGTGCTGCATTGCCAGCAGTGAAAAGGGCATGAGGGAAAGCACACCTTCCTCTGAAAGTATAGGGGGAGTTTGGTATTTTAAGAGAGAAATGAAGAGTACAAACCCAGCTGGTCGAGTTGTAACTGTGGGTCTGCATGCTCTGGTGAGGAGAGCATGGAGGTTCCTGGAGTGAGGGCCATAACAACCCTTTCTAATCAAATGAAATCGAAAGGAAAATGAGGAAAAGCAAAATAAATGTAGTCTCCTGTGTGGCTCTTGCTAATGGGTTTTGGTTTTGCCTTGCCAGCTCTGCCAGTGGTGGTGAGGGTTTCACCCACGGACGATGGAGCCGAGGAGCACTGGGCACCAAGCAAAGCCACCAGTGTCCCCAGGCCAGCAGGATGAGCCCCTGACCCCATGCTCTTCCTCATCAGCTGAAGATGAGGAAGCTGTCTATGGCTTCCTCTGTCCAAGGAGCAGCAAGTGCAATGCTGAGGATGAGCCTGGTTATGAGCTGATCCCTGACAAATCCTCGCTCTTCCTTTGGGGATCTTTTCCCAGGAAAGGCAGGAGGCAGCAACCAAGACTTGTCAGCCCCCTGCAGGGACCTGCAGGGCACAGCAGGGATGCTACAGGCCACAATAAATTTTTCGGCAGCAGTGAAGTGGTGGCCTTTGGTGAACATTCCCAGACAAAGCCTGGGCACATGCTCAGGCACAATGAAACAGAGCAGGTGGGGCTGCTCAGGGCAGACCTGGGGAGAGCCCACATCGCCCTGGATTGCAAGGAAGATGAGGTTAATGCCTTCCCTGTGTCTCCTGGGGAAGTGAAGACATGTCCTGGACATCTGGTAAGTGTTCCACATGGTGGCTGTGGGTGCCTGTTCCCTGTGCCCCATTTCCTGCTCCCTAGAGGTGCCCAGCTGGTCCTGAGGTCGGGATGCTCTGGCAGACATGGATGCTTTGTCTTCTCTTTTCCTCTAAACTCCTGCTTTAAGCTGGTGATGTGCAGTTCAAATCCACTGTGTTAAGTTGCCTTTGTATCCTTTAACAGTTGGTCTTACTACCCTGAGGAGTTTCTGCCCAAATGGGAGCTGGATTTCTGTTCATCCTGGGGTGGTGGCCAAGCAGAGCAGGGAGTGTGCCAGGGGTTCAGGGCAGAATATGTTCCCCCAAGGCCCTGCAGGGAGGAAAAGCCTCCCTGGCCAGGGGAACTGGCACTGGCTGTTTTCCTCTATGTTTGGTCTGGGCACTGTGGGCTTTTCTCTCAGCTCCTCCTGTGCCTGTGGGCCCAGAGGCTCCTGGCTGGGCTCCCTCACTGCAGTGTCTGTGCTCCTTGGGCAGCCTGTTTGTCTGTCAGGTCCCAATGACATCTCTGTACCCCTTTGAGTGCCTGTGCTTACAAGAAACTCATGTGAGCATAGTGCCCCTCAAGACATCTGGTCCTGGTTATTTGGGCTGCAGAGAGCTCCAGGCTCCAGAGCCCTGGAGCAGAGCAGCTGTGGGGCTGGTGGAGCCATTGGAGCAGCCTTGTTCCCATGGTGTTCTCCTTCCCCATCCCTATCTCTGTTCTTGTGCTTCCCACAGCTTCTGCAAGGCAGGAGCCTGATAAGCTCATTGATATCAACAGGAGAAAGGCAAAGGGTGAATTTCAGAGCTCAGCAAGAACTGCTGGAATTCACCAGGATTGTTTTCTGGTTCTTTTCAAGTCTTTTTCTTGTGTTTTGTGTCACTGTCTCAGGATCATAAACAGAACATGCAATTATTTATCCTGGGCACTGATTTAAATCCTTCCTCTCCCCATAACTCAGCCCCCCCTTAGCAAAACCCACGGGGCTGAGGTCTGGGCTGGGGCTGCTGCCTCTTCTTTCTCAGGGCTTTGGAATTCTTCCCAGCAGCAGGAACAGGAGCCTGAGACAGCCCAGCACAGGGTGTGGGGACAGCCTGCTCTGCACCCTGCCTGCAGCCAGGATCTGTCCCCAAAAAACCTCTTCTACCTCTTGGTTCCCTTTGGGGTGGCTGCAGCTCAGCCCTGTGGCACGGGGCTGGGAGCAGGATCTCTCTCCAGGACCAGCCTGGCAGCCCTTGCGGCCACAGGGGGCGAAAGGAATTCACTGTCACATAATGGGGCTTTGTGTGTGTGAGGGTTGGCATAAAGGGTTTTCTGAGGCTGCCTCAGAGCCTTTCCTGGCATCCCCAAAGAAGCCTGGCAGTGGCACGTGGCTCCTGTCCAGCCTGGAAATATCCTGGGGTGTGGTGCCCAGGGGCATGGGATGGGCACTTGGTGTCCCTGAGCAAGGAATGTCTCTCCTTGTCCATGCCTGAAGGAAAGCTCATCTTTGGGCAGTGGTTTTGACTGAACAGGTGTCAAGGAAGATGTGCCTGATGCTGTTTGCTGTAAATCCTGCTCTGATGCTCCTTTCAGAGAGGAGCACCACGTCAGCACCACTGCTGCTGCCTGCCTGTGCTCTGAGCCCCCTCAGCTCTGCTCTTGGACTGCTCACAAGACCAGCCTGGCTCTGGTGGGGTTTGACAGCAACCTCAGGCTCTGAGGGCACCTGGGGAGCGTCTCCTACCACTGGGCTCTGCACTGTGGTGGATCCAGGCAGTGGGTCATGGTGGCAATCCTCTGGACACCCCAGAGTGCTGCAGTGTGACAAACTGGGCACTGGTGGGATTGCAAAAACCCCTGGGTCTGTCACCTCCATGCTCCCACCTGCTCTGGGGCTGCATGCTTGGAGATCAGGGGATTTGATTTTGATTGTTGGCACCCAGGAGCTGTGGAGTCCCCCATCCTGTGTCCCAGTCCTGATGCCATGTCCCCAGCTCTGCCCAAGAAGCTGCACTGGACAGGGTTTACCTCTGGATTTGGGTGTGGGAAAGTTGGTACATGAATGGCCCAACCCTCCACGAGTGAGGGGAGATGTGAATTCATGCCAGAAATTCAGCTTGCAGACACCTGCCCTTGAGGGAGCCAGCACAGCACCTGACAAGATTCCTCTGTCCTGGGAGTTAATCCCAACCCTTGGCCAGAATTAGGGCTGGGATCCTCCCCAGACAGCAGCTGTCACCAGAACTATGTGCAAAAATACCCAAGGAGCTCAGTTTATTAAATGGCATTTCATGGTGCCAGCCAGAGGAGGAGATGTCCCTGTCACCTGTGGTTGTTTTTTAGCTGCTGAGTGTGCTGTGAGTGGCAGGTACCAGGGCTGAGTGTGAGTGTGAGTGCACACTTGTGCTGCCAGCCCTCCCCGTGCCACCACGGGAGCCTCCCTGCTCCTGCTAATAATAAGAGCTGCTGCAATTCCTCGGGCTGCTCTGGTGCCTGCCTTGCAGGCAGGGGATTAATGTCCCAGGATTAATGTCCCAGCCAGGCTCCAGCAGCTCAGTGCTATTCCCAGGGGTAGGAAAAACTGCCTGGTGAGCATTCTGCTTATGTCCCCTTTTGTACTTCAAAATGCAGCCTGATTTATATTTCTTGTTTCCACAAAGGCATCTTGAAGAGAACTAGAGAGCAGTAGCAGCAGTTTTTGCTGGAGTTCTGTCCTGCATGGGAGTTTCTGTAAACACACCCAGACAATAACTCTTGGGTGCTTGAATACAAATGGAGTTAAAATTGAATGGGAATATGGTTCTCAAAAAATCTGTTTCCTTCTATATTGCTTGTGTTTATTAGTAATTTGTGTATCTTGTCTACAGTATCTCAAAAATGTCACCACTTCAGTTATGCTCTTTTAAGTGCATTTAAATAGCCCCATGCTGAGCACAGCCCCAGGCCCCTGTTGAGCTTCCCAGTCTTTCTGGCTCTGGGAATTGGGGCAGGAACACCCCCCAGCTGGTGCAGCAGAAATTCCCCAGAACTGTCCTGGACTGGGTTTTTTTTCAGTGAAACTGGGAGGTTCTGCCAGTCTGTGAGGATTAGTCAGCTGCAAAGTTTGTTTGGTTTTGTGTATGTGCTAAATCAGTTGGTGTTTGTGAATTCTCTCACTGGTGTTTGCAAACTGGGCATCCTGTGTGGGGAAATGCACAGAGCCGTCTGTGCCAGGACCCTCTGGGGACAGGGAGTACAGGAGGCTTCCTGCAGCCCTTGGCTTGTCTCTGGGAGTCCAGTGCACATCTGGGCTAAGCAAAAGTATCACTGGCTTTGGAAGGTGACACTTCAGCAGGACACCAGTGCTGGGATAGGGGACATCCCCCTGTGCTGCCCCAGCCCTCGGGAAGGGCATTCTGAGGGGATGCCGTGGGCCTGGCTGGCTGCTCCATCCCTGTGGGATGGGGGATCGATGCCTTTGGCCCCGGGAGGCTCTCCAGGGTACTGCCCTGCTCACCCGAGCGTTTCCTTCTGCCACAGGAGCTGCACGTGCGGATTAAGTAATTGCCTAATTGCCCGTCCCAGAGAGAAGCTTTCCCTCAGGGCTGGAGCTCCGCTGCAGCCTGTGGTTTGTGTGGCAATCCCCGTGTGTCCTGAACCCTCCCAGTGTGTCCATGCCCAGCACAACCCACCCCTGAGCCACTGGAGACCGGAGCACATCAGGATTATTTTAAATGAGGAGCTTTTTAATGGAGAAGCAGCAGTGACAAGTGGGGCAGGGGGCTCACGGGTGGTGTGGGGCAGCTGTGGGACTGCTGGGAGCTGGGCAGTGTCTTCTGCTGCCCTTGGCCATCTCTCAGCTGCCTTCTTGTGCTCCGCTCGTGGTGGTGCCTCTTTGGTGGCATCAGAGACATTTGTCCTCTTGGGCTGGAGCTGGGCACAGAGCTCTGAGCAGGGCTGGCCCCACAGTGCAGCCCCAGCCCTGGGGAGCTGTGGGATGCCATGCGGTGCCATAGGGTTCTGTGTGCTGGCATTTCCCCGGCACAGCCCTTGCTCGGGGGCACACTGAGGGGTTCAGTCCTGTCCTCGCCTTCTCTGCCTCCCCAGTTGTGCTCCTGGGGGCTGCAGTTCCCCGTGTTCTCCCTCCCCCGTCCCTGCCTCACCGCCCTCATGGTGTCACAGCCCCAGCACCGCCAGCACCCGCCCCGTGTCCAGCCTCGGGAGAAGAAAAGGGTCCCTGTTCCCGCTGTGCTAATGGGGAAACGCCAGCTCGGCGGGAGCTGCGCCCTTCCCAGCCTCGGGAAATGCCTGTGCCCGGCGGAAAGTGGAAAATCCCCGAAAATCCCGGTGTGCCGCGGGCTCGGGGCTGGGCCGGCCCGGGGGAGGCCCCGCTCACAGCCCGCGGTGCCAGTGCGGCCTCTGTGGCTGCGGGGACCCGGCCTGGGCTGGCTCTGATCCTGGGTGACAGCCGCCACAGCAACAGCTCATCGGCACTCAGAAATAGCCCTGGACACGGGATCCTCCTTCCAGGGAATGATCTACTGTGGGAAGAGGCTGTACCTGCCCTCCGAAATTCCAGCCCTGTCCCGTGACTTTCGGAGAAGGCGGGATGTGTGTGGCGGTGCTGGGGCTGGTTGGTGACATCCTGGTGTCCTGGGCACTGTAGGCAGCTCTTAGGGAATGTCTACAGGGTGACATTCTCCTTGGAATCAGCTTCTTAAAATTAACTCAGTTTTATAATGGGTTCTCATGTGGGTCTGAGGAGGATACTGACACACACACACACACGCACACACATATTTATTTATAGAATGAATGGATATTGCTTTTGCTTGTCCTGTAAGCTCGTCTGCACAGTGGGTACATCAGGAATTTTGGGATGAGCCAAATGCAGCAATAGGGTCAGTCCCCTGTCCACTCAGCAGAAATACCCATTTGGTGTGCACAGCTCCTGCCACTTCCCCATGGGTCCAGTCCCCAGGAGCTATTCCTGCCGAGGATAGTGTCCTGGCACGCTGAGGAAGGATCCAAGATGTAGCATTACTGGAATGCTTTTGGGATGACCGGGTAGGAAGAAGCTACACAAGCATGCAGAAACCGCTGTGGTTTGTCTCCCAGGCCTGGGAAGGAGACAGCCTGCTTCTATTTGTGCTAGCTCGGCTTTTTTAGCTTCTGGAGGAAGTGGGAGAAGGACCCGATGCTGCTGGAGCCAGCAGGGGCAATTCTCTGGGCCCTGGCAGGGTTATGGCTGAAGCAGCAGGGCCTGTCCTGATCCAGAACAATGCACGGTGCTGAAGGGTGAGTCCCTGATGGGAACAGGAGCCCAGTGCCACCAGGCCTGGCAGTGCCTGCCTCTCTGAAGGGACAGTCCCTCCTGTGACAGCTGCCTTCAGCCTCACCCAGGCCCAGATGTCCCAGAGCCTGTGGAATCACTGAAGAGTCTCCTTGGACTCCTTGGAATGATGATGGCAGAGCCTTTCACAGGACCCTGTGCTGGCAGTGCCCTTCCATGTCCTGGCCACGGTGGTGGTGCCCTGGCAGCCTCAGCCCCAGGACAGCAGTGCCCAGAGAGCTGGATGGGGATGTCTGGCAGTGAGCAGTGCCCCAGCTGCCTTCATCCCTGCAGGGGACTATTTGCAAGTCCTTGGGGTAAAACTGCAGCTCTTGAGGCAGTGGTGGGTGAGTTACTGAGGGTGGGCAGCAGCGTTGGGCTTTAAGTCCCGTGGGGAAAATCCCTACTAGGAGAGGTGACCCTGGTGGGCAGCGTGCCACAGAGGTGATACTGTCTGCCCAGCCCTGGGATTTTGAGGGAGGAGAAAAGAGATTGGTGTACAAAGCTTGTGCTGCCTTGGTGTCCCCAGCCCTGCTGGGGACATTAGTGGCCCAGTTACACCAGCAATGCAGGGGACAGGGTGAGGAGCTGCAGCTGGTGCCAAGGCTGGGAGCGGTGCCAGAGCCCGCTGAGGAATGAGTGAGAGGGAGATGGAAGGAGGCAGCTGGAGCCGGCGCCGGGACTGCTGCTGCCTGTGAGCTCCATGGCTGCTGGGGCCATGGCAGGGCTGTGCCAGTGCCACCAGGGCACTGCTGCCAGTCCAGGGCCCTGGTGCTGCTCGGGTCTGCTGGATGCTGGATGCTGGCAGTGCCTCACGCCGTCCTCTCCAGGCAGCTACACCTGACATGGTTATGCCGTGGCCTTCCTGCTTTTTGTGCTTGCCTTGTCTCCCTTATCCTCATGCTTTGGGGCCCCACACCCCGTCCTGGCCTGCCCTGACACGTGGCACTGGACACAGCTGCCACAGGCACCAGCTGCTGGGGGTTGGGTACAGACGTGTCACATCCTGAGCAGAACCATTGTGCTCTGGCTTGTGTTCCTCCTGCAGGTCCTGTCAGAGTGGAGCTGACACCAGCCCGAGATGGGCAGCAGGCAGGAACAATCCCACTGGAGAGCCTGATGCCAGTCCAGGGTGGATGACAGCCACCAAGGGTCCTTGGGAGCAGGGCCGAGCCCAGGCATCACTGTGGATCTGCTTGCTCTTGCTCCCTCTGAACTCCTGACACAAATCACCAGTTTGTGGGGTGTTCTTGTGTGCCTGCAGGAAGAATCCTGGCCCGGAGGGCTGCGAGTAGGGGGCTGGCACAAATGTTTGTGACTTGATCTGTTATTGTGGCACTTGTGATGATGTTTGCAGAAGGCAGATAAGGAGCTGTGAATAGCTGCAGTGAAGGGCTCAGATATATTTGATGGCTGGGAGGGTTCCCCTGTGTTGTTTGCCCCCAGCAGGATGGCCCTGGGTGATGCTGCTCTGCTGTGCCCGTGGCTCAGCAGCACCTGAGCACCAGGGATGGCACCACGGCTGGGTACACCTTGTGCCTGCAGAGGAGAGCGCCAGGAGCTGCCAGCCAGCTCAGGCAGGACCGGAGTGACAATCTGAACCGTCCAGATTTGGGTTTCTAACGTCCTACATGTGCCTTTGACAGCCCAAACCCCTCTTCTCCCGCTCTGGAGTGCCGGTCACCCCTCGCCCCTTCCCACTGCCTGCGAATGGGAGCAGCTCGGGTGCGTTCCAGGCAGGAAGGAAAGCCTGGAGCTGTTTAAAACTCGCAATCTTCAGGGAATTTCAATGGCGTCCAAGCCCGTTCCCAACCAACTGAATAACGGTGCAGGGTTTGAATGCTGGCCCGCCTCCGCCGCCGCCGGCCGCTCCTCCCTCGGCGCCGCCCGCACCGGGCTCTGCCGGCTCCGCCGCCGCTGCGCTGCCATGGGGGTGCCGCGGGGGGCTCTCCCCGCGCTCTAGGGGGGTCTGCCGGGCCCCCCGGCACATCATGCCATTGCTGGACTTCTTCTGGGCTTGCTTCAAAAGAGCCAAGGTAGGGGAGCGCTCTGTCCGTCGCTGACACGCTCCGCTTTGCGAAGCCTCGGCAAGGGGCGCTGGGGACGCTCCCCGGCGGTGTCGGCGTCTGCTCCGGGGGTGTCGTGCCCGCGAGAGGGTTTAATTTTGGCTGGGCCGTGTGTAGGTGCGCTGGTCCCTGTGCCATGAGCTCTCCGCTGCCCTTTCCTGGGTCACCGTGTCCCGGCAGCGACAGCCCTGGGCGGGCAGGGGGCTGTGCCCGGCGAGCTGCGCTCTCTGTGTGTCTGTCTGTCTGTGTTTTTGTGTGCGTGTGCCCACCCTCAGCCCCCCGAGGTGGTCAGCCCATGCCAGGAGGGTCCTGCCGTGCCTGCCTGCATGGTGTGGCCGGGCTGGGACATCCTTCCCAGCCCAGAGGCTCAGGTCACCCGTGCCGTGCCTGTGGGACCGTGGCCAACCTGGAGGATCAGGGCAGCTCTGAGCAGGATGACAAAGGAGCAACAAGGCCAAGGGCTCCCAGCTTTTCATTTCCTGCAGCAGCAGTTCTCATGGGGTGACATCTGAGATTTTTCTTTAGCGTTTAATTCATCTGTCACCTTAATAACAAACAACTCTCCCTGCCTCTTCCTGATCACTGTTGGTTTATTGTGTCCCAGCCTATGCAGTGTGGTGGGAGGTGAGCTGGAGAGATTGTGGAGTTATAGTTAGTGTGAATTTCAGGAGCTTCAGAATTGGGAAAAGTGTTAAAATCCCTTTTCAGACAGTGCTGTACACCGGGCTGTGCTGGGTGAGTGGATCTGCTGTGGTGAAATGAATGTGGAATGCACGCTGTCCCCCCGGGCTTTCAGTGTGCAATGCTTAAAATAGTTGAGTCTAAAAATGACATTTGTGAAATTCATTGGTAATATTAGTGGCTGTCTTGTCCCTGCTGTCTCATCCCCGCTGTCTCTAGAGAGCTTAGCTGTCCTCATTAACCCTGTTTGTCCCTGTGTGCTGCCTGTTGGCATTGCCATCCTACTGGTGGTGGCAGGGACAGTGACACCGGGTCCTGCATGGCCACTGGCACAGCTGCAGCTTGGGATGGCTCCAGCCTGGCCTGCACAGATTCTAGTGCCCATGGGTTTCAGTCCCAAGCACCCAGCAGTCCCCTGCTTTCAGCCTGTGTCTTTGGCCCAGCGTGGGGTCTGGTGGCCCAGCTGGCCAGGGCACCACCCTCCTGGTTGCCTTCAGTGGCCTCCTGTAGGGCTGAGCCTTCTGCTTCAGCCTGGATCCGCTCTCCTCCCCATGCCAGCGCTGCTCAGCTGCTCACCACCAACAGGCGAGGAATTCTCACCTTCCTTGCTGAGGAATTTCTTAAACAGGGAGAAACGTGCTGGGCTCTGTCTGTGGGATTAAAGTTTTCCAGGCTAAATGAGGTGGGTCTGTGGCTGGTGGAAGATTTCATGGGAAAAGGAAGGTGTGGGAACAGATTGGGCAATGCCAAAGGATCCAGAGGAGCTGGGTGACCCCCGCTGTGGACAGGGGCATGCTGTGAGATCCAGCGATGGCCCAGCCCTGGTGATGGCACCCCTCGGGCAGGCAGGGCTGGGGAAGCACAGCAGCAGGGACGTGGTTAAGCCTGGCTTTCCTGGGCCAGCTCAGCCCTGCTGCCCCGGCAGGAAGAGGGGTCCTGGGGTCCGTGGGAAAGCCGGGCTCGTCCCGTGGCGCATTCCTGCGGTGATCCCGCGGGGCAGCAGCACTGGAGGGGCTCAGTCTGCACCCAGACAGGGACTGGGGACCCTCCTGGGCTCTGGGCTCACCTTGGGACCAGGAATGGGGACCTTCTGCTGCTCCTCCACTCTGCAAAGTGCTGCTGTGTCCCAAGTGCTGCCCTGCTGCTCTGAATCCCGTTTCTTGTGGCTTCCCTCGGGAGCCGGGCTGGTGGGTGCCAGCTGGGCACTCCATCTTTGCCTGGTGCTCAGGGCCCTTGGGAGTGGCAGTGGTGTTTTACAACCAGTGGGGTGATGCCCTTGGGAGAAGCCTTTGCCAGGGCCCCAAGCATCATTGCTTGTTCCAGCTCTGGGCCAGCACTGCTGGTCTCAGGTCACTTCTGGGCACAGGGAGGCTGGAGCAGGGAGCAGGGACCAAGCCCAGATATGAGGGGCAGCATTCCACAAATGTGAGAATTAAAATGATTTAAAAAATTATTTTTGGTTTTTTTTCTTTCTTTCTTTTCACAGAAATTCACGTTGTTAGAAGATAAAAAAGATGCAGGTAAGCTGCAGCAATAATCTTTGGGGCAGGAGTGCCCTTGCTGTTAAACAAGGGCAGGTGAGCAGGGATCATGGGAAGAACAATGTCCCCTTGCTGGGTTCTTCTGCCAGCAGTGTGATTTCTCCCCAAAACTGTTATTTTCAAGAGAATATATTTGCAAAGAGACCTTGGTTACTTTTCAGGTCCTCTTGTCTTTGTGGTGAGCAGCTTTGTGCTCAGCAGACAATGCCATGGGGAGCTCCAGAGCCTTGGCACTGCAGTGCCATGGGCAGGAAGGGCACCCCTGGCTCGGGCACCCCAGCTTTGTGTGCCTGGGTGTCTCAGCCATGACTGTGGGGCAGGAGGGACTGGCAGTGCAGCTGCAGGCTGATCCTGGGGGTTACGCACGGCTGCTGCTGCCCTGATCAGACCTCTGCCAAGGTGGGGGCACAGGCTGAGGATGGGGCTGCCCTGCCATGAGGGGTTTGTGGGGGCTGGGGAGGCTGGTGGGGGTCTCTGGGAGCAAGAGGAGGAGGAGGGGGAAGGGGAGGGTGTGTGTGCCAGCAGGACCAGGAAGCAGGGATGGGGATGGGGCTGTGGCAGGGGGGCAGAAGAGCCTTTCCTCATCCCACTCTTGGTGCCTTGGGGGTCTTTGTGCAGGGACACCCCCAGAGTCAAATCTGTCCCATCCTATACAGGGTGTCACATGGCTCTGGTGGCCCTGGAATTGGAGGCACCTGGAGCTGGGGGGGCTCTGCTGCTTTGGGCACAGGACTCAGGACATGCCCTGTGGATGGTGGCTCTGGTGTTGGAGGTGGGTGCAGTGGGGCTGCTCACACTGCTGGCTGGAGCCCTGGCACCATGGAAAGGGAACCCACCGTGCAGGGAGCCCATGGGATGTGCCTGGGGATCTCCAGGCAGTTCCCTGCCCGAAGGGTGGTGCACTGAGGGCCTCTTGTTTTCAGGCACATAGGGGTGAAGTGAGCTCTGAGTCTGGCTGGTGAGAGCCCAGAGCACAGGAGAGCTCTGGGTAACAAAAGGTGCTTTGTGAGAGAGCCCCAGAGGTATCTTGGGTGGTCTCTGGCCCTTGCACGGGAGAGATTAAGAACATAAAAGTCAAGAGTTAAAGAGCCCTGTGGAAGGGAAGGGGCAGGGAATGCTCCTATGGATCACACTGTGACTGGGATTTTGGGGCAAAAAATGTTTTTAGGGTTTTTTTCCCCTTGGTTAAAACTGCCTGTAGAATCCAGGTCTCTCCTGATGAAGGCTCAGTGACACTCACATGACCCCAGCTGACACCTGCCTGTCACATGTCCCTGTCCCAGCTCTGGCTGCTGGAGGGATGCTGGGTGGCCATGGGCTCTGGGGGCAGGAGGAGCGGGAGCCTCGTGTCCTGAGCAGCTGCAGAGTTTCTCACTGTGGGATTTGTCACCTGTGACTTGATGTGATGATGGAGCCATAGCAGCTCCCAGTGTCACTGTGACCTGCAGCAGCACAATGCCTGGGGCAGGCTGGGGTTCTCCCTTTCCCATGGATTACACTGGACCAGCCTGCAGAGGGGTTGTGCCCTCCACTGGGAAGGGGCCAGGGCAGATCCTTCTGTCCTCTTCACTCATTGTCCCCAGAAGATGCTCAAACAAAGGGGCATTCAGGCTGTGGGCTTGGGGACACCATTCCCTTCCCTTATGATGATTTTCAGTCACTTTGGATGGGTGGCACGAGGACTCCCAACACAGTAGCATGAGGCAGGGTGGAGATGGTTCTGCTTTATCCCAGCAGCTCTTGGTGAAGTGTCTCTTCCATCAATTCCCAGAGCTTGCCTCTGACTTTCCCCCTGCAGCACTGCTGCTCTCCCAGCACACCTGGCTGACTCCCTGGGCTGTTTTCCAGGCATGGACAGACCCACTCCCAGCCCCTCTTTGGAGCTGTGGTTGTGCTGCCACAGCCCCTTCCCTGAACATTGGCTGGATGAGGTCATTAGAACACCTGGGTATGCCATGGCAGCTCCTACAGTGATGGTGGAAAACAACTTGGATTTCATCTGCCTTCTTGGAGGTGATGTTTCAGCTGTGGAGCACGTGGGGACTCCTGTGTCCCTGCTCTCCCTCCTGCTGCCCTGCTTTGCATCAAAGCCCTCCCTGGCCCACCCTGCAGTCCCCTCGGATGCATGGGACTCAGAGCCCCTGCACAGCCCCAGACTAAACCACTGGAACAATCCCAGCTGGGTCAGGTTTCCATGGATTTCCTAACCCCCTGTTTCCTCTCCAGCATTCACTTCCCATGTATTGTTCTGGACTGAGCAGAAAGGAAAAGCTTGAAGAAAGGAAAGGCTCACAGCCTGGCCATGCACCTGAAAACTGCATCCTCAGAATAAATTCCTACCAACAGCAGCAGCAGGCCCCTCCAAAAGGGATTGGGAGGTGCTCTGCCCATGTCACAGAGCAGTGGCTCCTCTTGCTGCTCAAGGACAGGGACAGAGCTGGTGGCTCCTGCCAGCACAGCCAGACAGTGGTGTCACAGTGGTGACATTGCAGCATTTCAGGGTGGGCTCCTGTGGCTGGATGTGGTGAACTAATAGGGAAAAGCAGCGCAAGGGACTCGGCTGAACTTTTGCCCCTGCATGAAATAATAAGGTTGTATTTACTCAGCATCTGGATCACCGAAAATAACCTGCTAAATTTAGCTGTTGTTGATGTGTTGTCACAGCTGAGCTGTTCTTCTCTCCTTGCACAAAAATCTCTTGCACTGGCTTGGTGGGTTTGTGGCTGAGCACAAGGCCCCGTCCCTCACCTGACCTGATCCCATGACTGTGGTTCCCTGGGTTTGGGGACAGAGGCAGAGACTGGGATCTGATTTTGTCATTGTCTGAACGTGTTGGAAGGGAGAGGGGCTGGGGCTGGCAGGCCCTGGGGTCTGTGGGTGTGCAGGGGCTGCTGCTCTTAGCACTGGGGCCATGCTCTGGCTGTGGCATCAGAGGGGACCCAAGGAGTGAGTGGGACGCTGGATGGGGCAGCAAGGACCCATTCTGGGCACTTCTGGGACTCCTTGAGAAACTGCTGCTCTTACATGGTGGAAAAGGCAGTCATGGGGCTGGGTGTGGGTCAGAGCTCTGGGAAGTAGAAAAGCTGAACCGAATGTGATTATTTGTGGTTTTGGTGGGACATGTGATGAGGGGATTCTGTGCTGCTCCTTCCTCTTCCTCTTCCCGGCCCTCCTGGGTTCAGGCTTGGCTGGTGAATCACCAGTTCTCATTCTTGTGTCCCTCTGCCTATAAAATTTGTGTAGCTCTGACCCCCTGATGACTGCTGCAGTGACAGAGACCCCTCCCCCAGCTCAGCTCCTTCCTTCTGGGCTTTAATTCCAGGGCTGGAAGTTTTCCCATTTCCTGTAGCTAACAAAATACAGATTCCCCCCTCTGGACAGCAGGATCCGCTCACAGGTTGGGGGATTTTCTTTGAAGGCCAGAAAGGAAGAGCCTGGGTTAGAGAGGACGTTTTTCTGTGTTGGTGAGCTTCAGAGCACGTGGGAAGTGCAGGGAATGAGCTGGGAAAAGGCTCCTTTAGCCACCTCATGCCCGGAGTGTCGCCAAGTTTTTCCCATGGCAGCAAGGAGCGACTGAGACTGACTGGAAAGTAACTGCAGGCAGGAAAGTACATTTCTATCTGCATCCTCGGGTGGTTTGCATGAGACTGAAAGTAGCGAGAGGGAAGTTCTGAGTGTGGTCATTTGAAATTACTGAAATTACCATGAGAAAATACACCGAAAACTGGTGGAAAGGTTTGGCTGGGCAATGGTTTTTCTTTGGTCAGAACTTGGACATGCAAACTGCCTTAACATGCACAGGAAGGTAATCCTTGTGCCTGAAGTAGCCCCTCAGTCCTTCTGGGGAAAGCTGGTGCAAAGGGGGCAGGCATGGGGCTGGGGGAGCCTCCTGGGGCTGTGTGATGCTCACCGGAGTTTGTTTTCAAAGCCGAGAGGTCAGATGGGGAAAAAGCAGTGTGAGGTGTTGGCAGGCCAGTCTGATCACGTTAATTCCTTCCATTCTTAATGAAGAACCCCTGAGCCCTGCCCGGCGCGTCCGCAGGGCTTTGAAACATCCGCCCGCCCCCGGGAGCGGAGGCGGCAGCGGAGCGGGGGTGACTCAGTTTTGGGGGGGTGCAGGTGGAACACGTGGCTCAGCATCAGCTTCACCTCGGCCCCTGGTGATGCCCGAGCCTGGGGGACGGGGCTGAGCGGGATCCCAGGTCCCGGGGATGCTGCGGGACCAACCGGGGCGAGCTCTTTCCTCGGCCGGAGGCGCGGCCGGGGGGGCTCCGCCGGGGCTGCGGGGAACGGGCGGAAGGGGAGCGGGCGTTCCCCGGGAGCGGCCCTGGTGCCGTGCCCGCATCCCTGCGGGTGAGGAGCCGCAGCTCGCCCGTCCCGCCGGAGCAGCGATGGGTCGCCGGGACGGGGCTGGGGTCGCGGCTCCGCGCCGGGGCTCCGGGCGCTCCCTGGGGCTGCGGCTCCGCCGCGCCGCGGCCGCGGCTCCGTGCGGGGGGAGACGGCGCGGGCGGGCAGGTGAGTGCGGGGCCGGGGCTGCGGGGCCGAGCCTGGGGCTGCAGGAGCTGCAGGGGCCAGCCCGGTGCGGGGCTGCGATCAGCCCGGGGCTGCGATCAGCCCGGTGCGGGGCTGCGATCAGCCCGGTGCGGGGCTGCGATCAGCCCGGGGCTGCGATCAGCCCGGGGCTGCGGGGCCAGCCCGGTGCGGGGCAGCGGCGGCAGCGGGGCCGGCCCGTTCGCTGCGCGGCGGGCGAGGGACGGGGCTGGCGCAGGGTGGGCTCCGTGCGGGTCAGTGCGGTGGGCGCAAAGGGCAGATCACAGACAGGGGATGAAGCTCACTGAGGGGCGCGGGCTCTGCTTTCCGTCCAAACTCGAGCGGTTTTGGTGGTGTTCTGGGCCGTACGCGGCTCTCTGTCGTGTCTGAGTGATGCCGGTCACAAAGCCGAGGCGGGGACTGTTCTGAGCCGACAGGTAAAGCAAATG